GCATAATCGACAAAGGTAGAAGAAATACACAAAAAATTGAAATAGATCAGTGACATAATAAAAATCCCAAATTATATTTTAAAAAATTCCAACTTATTAAGTCATAAAGTATATGCAGTATATGCAGAACAATTTCTTTAAAGACCTAAAACTTTTTTTTAAGAAGCACAGATCTCTGGTTTTATCAAGTTATTTCATTCAGATGAAAATAGCATCAAATCTCCCTTCAGACAAAACACATTTGTGACAACTTACCTTACAGCCTTCACATGCATGCACCCCGTAATGAAATCCAGAGGCCTTGTCCCCACAGACACGGCATTCGATGGCCATAAGGGAGTTGGAAGACTCCTCATGAGGTTTATTGTACAACTGAACTTTTTCTGAAAAGTAGGGTGGGGAAGGAGGCTCCAGTTTGATTGCACCTGTGCGTAGAGAAGATTGAAATTATAAACTTGAAGTATCATTAAATAGAAAGCAGCAGCAGCAAGGAATAATCCCAAGCAATCACAGTAAACAGATACATTGGTCTGCTTCATAACACAGAACGAGTAGTAGACAAAGGATGTGAAGGGATGGAAGCTGTGAGCAGCTAGTTCACTAGCAGTATACAGGATGAAAAACCTCGAAGAGCAGATTCTGATGTAGAATTTGGGATTTAAAAAGCTACACACATTAATAATTTATATTCTATGTATGCTGAGGCATTTTTTTAACATCTAGGATACTTATTCTGCATTGTGTGCATAGAGCTTCAAAGGATGATTTATACACAAAATACACGAGAGGAGACTGGAGGTTTCAGAAACAAATTGTGGGGTGTGTGTGTCTGATAAAAGATATTTACTGTAATTTTAGATACTTTCCGATAGCTTGCCTAATCTCTGGCTGCTGCTCTGGAAGGCTGAAAGTCTGCTAAATGTATTCTATCTTTTCTATCATCTGCCCTGCAATAATATCTTGCAGACATCTCTGATAACACAGGATACCAGCATTTAGGCATCTGAATACTTCTGAACTCTTCTGTTGATAGCACAGTTCCCAGAGAATGAAGCAAATGTAAACATCAAGGAAATACTAGCAAAACTGAAAGCATACTTTGGCAATCCTGGAGCTTGATGTCATATTTATAATCAATGCTTGTCGGATCAGCTCTTGCAAGAGGAATATCTTCATAGTGTGGTGAAGAAATGCTTGAAAAATCAACAGTGGTGAAAGGCTTGATGTCAAAGGAATGTGTATGATCATCCATTGCAGACAGGTCCACCGGACTAATTCCAAAATTAATGGGCCAAAACGGCATTTCTGTGTCAACCATTGTAATCCCTGCAAACAAACAAACAAAAGAAACAGACATTTTTAAAGAAGCCAGTTATTTCTGTAATGTGTTTGGCTCCAAGCTGAGGTCCAGCTGCCTCATGTTGGGGGGGTTGAAATGCAAACTCACAACCAGGTGCAGGTTTTAGGGGAGCGTTTAGGCCCCATCTACCATTTGACTTGAGTTTGTCACCATACAACACATTAGGCAGTGCAGTAACGCTGCATGGGTAGCACTGCGCAGTTAACCCAGCGCTGAGGTTCTTCTTAGGAAAGCTCTGATGTCTCATGTCTGAAGAGCACCAGGGCTCAGGGTAACCTTAGAGCAGAATGGCTGTCATCTGGATGCTCCTAGACTGAACTGATCTGATCTGTACTTCAAAAGGCAGCAGAAACAACTCATGGGCTCACAGAACAACGGCTCAGTTAGATGATTAATTGACAAAAATATATATGGGAAGAGTAGCCATCTAATTACGAATGGCCAGATGAAATTATCATCATCATTCTTCCCAAGTGCCTGAAAAATCTTACGGTTTTTTACATTAAGAAAAAAAATGTAGTTGAATATTAAATAGTGTTTTTCTTCTAAATAACAAGAAATATTTAGCCATCCATGTATGTCAACAGTTTTAAACCAGACTCTGAAAGCCAAGGCTCAAGTAAGTTAAGGCTTTCCAAATTCCATATGTATTTATGCAGATCTTGAAAGCCATAAACAAATACAAAGCTTCAATCTGCAAAAATCTTCAGCAAATTGAGTGAATTTAGATTGAGATCTAGAATGTTTTTCCAAGTCCTCTTCTGACAGTTAGCTGAACCAAAATCCTTGATTTAGACGTATTTCAACCATGAAATGTTTGTAAGTCACAGCAAGTGTAAAGCATTTACTGTTCTGTAACAAGGGTCTGCCTTTAATTTTCTCTGATTTATAAAAAGAACATTCTAATCTATAAATAGAACAGATGTTATGGATCTAAAATAACTTGGTCACTTTGGCTGTTTAATTTGGACTTCAGAGCCAATCAAGTAAGCAGCCTTTAACCTCTGGAACTTTGATTTGAACTGCCTGGAATCAAAGCTACTCTGTCACTGTCACACTGCCAAAACTGGCGTTGCAAAATGAATATAATGGAACAGACCTGCTCTAGCATTTGGAGATCATCCTTGGTTTTGACAGGCCTACAGGTAGGTAAAGCAGGGACTGTCCTCCCCATCAACCGTGCTGGAGTGCTAAGGTAGGAATGGCTAGAAATGGTGACAGTCAGCTTTGTCTTTCCTCAGGACAGGCACCATCATTCTTCCACCTTTAGGACTCACAGCACAACCCTCTAGTTCTTCTACCTTGAACACTGACAACCAACGTTGTAACTGATCTTTCTTATTCTTAAATTTCAGAAAATAAAATTATCTGATGAAATTACATTATAGATTGTCAGAGTGCCTTGGTATTATAGAGTATCTCTCAAATAGTCGATTTTTCTGTAAGCATGAAGTGCGAAACCCTGGCCATCACCATCAACACCGAGAACTGTCTTCCTTAAACAGATTTCCAAATAAAGCAATAAAATAGAATAGACTCCTTCTTAGGAGTCCAGTTTTGTAAATAACCAGACACATCTTTAAAAAAATTAAATAAAATCAACAAACATCTAAAATTTGAACATCAGATTATATTCCTTTAAGCAAGTGACACTGAGAGTTATGTCCACTTTGTATCTGGAGGGCTCCCTCAGGGGTGAAGGAGGAGGATGCCTACAGGCATGATCCCAGTTATAGGTTAAATTCCTTCTCTGGAGCCCTGTCTCCGTTTAGGGCTCAGGGCAAACCCAAGTGAAACATGAAGCAGGATTTCTCCCTGTTACCCCCACACCCTCCCAGGAGGATAAAAAAGGAATAAAGAAGAGATTCTTCACACAAGACTGGCAGTCAGGAACAGGACTTGATCCGCACAGGCGCATGCAGGAGGTTACCATGTGGCCGAGAAACAACAGCACACAACCACGCCACAGGAGGCAGGAGGAGGTGCGGTGGCAGCTCCCCTCGACAGGAACCTCCCCTGCGCTACAGAGGCAGCTCAGAGGTTTGGGTACACGCAGACTCAAGTCACACTGACTAGAGATGGAATGAATCACTTGCCACCGAGCCCAGTTTTTGTATGACACACGTTTTGTATTATACACACACGTTAAACAGCTTTCCTACATCTGGCATAAAAACGCTACAAAAAGATTCTCACAATCTTGAGGCATTACCACTTTGTATTTTCAGTTGAAAAGATTTCAGCTTGCAAAGCACTGTGAGCTGAAGAGCAAGTGAAAGCTAGTCTGTATTTCACTTTAAAACACAGTGAATGACTGGGATGTTTTTCAGAATTTTCGAGGTCCCTTCCAGTTCCTAATATTTTGTGATTCTGTGATAGCCTGTGATTAATTCTTTGAAACTCCTCAATCATTATAACACAGCGTGTGCAGGAAATTCCCTATGTACAGATAAACTAAAAAATTTTCCCCCTCTACTCTGCCCTGGCGAGACCGCATCTGGAATATTGTGTCCAGTTCTGGGCCCCTCAGTTCAAGAAGGACAGGAACTGCTGGAGAGAGTCCAGCGTAGGGCTACAAAGATGATCAAGGGAGTGGAGCATCTCCCTTCTGAGGGGCGGCTGAGGGAGCTGGGGCTCTTTAGTTTGCAGAAGAGGAGACTGAGGGGAGACCTCATTCATGTTTATAAATATTTAAAGGGTGAGTGTCACGAGGATGGAGCCAGGCTCTTCTCGGTGACAAACAATGATAGGACAAGGGGTAACGGACACAAACTGGAACACAGGAGGTTCCACTGAAATTGGAGAAGAAACTTCTTCTCAGTGAGGGTGACAGAGCCCTGGCCCAGGCTGCCCAGAGAGGTTGTGGAGTCTCCTTCTCTGCAGACATTCAAAACCCGCCTGGACGCCTTCCTGTGTAACCTCATCTGGGTGTTCCTGCTCTGGCAGGGGGATTGGACTGGATGAGCTTTGGAGGTCCCTTCCAATCCCTAACGGTCTGTGATTCTGTGATTCTGTGAAACTTCGGCTGAGAAAGACTCACCTAAGTCCAGAGGTCCAGCTTGCAAGGCACAAACTCCAAAAGCTAAGAGGGTACATTAACTCCTTAGCAGGAACTTTCCGTTTCCCCAGTCAGCACAGATAACTTGTTTCTGTAAAGTCTACCAATAATGCCAGAGAAGTTTCATTGCAAAAAAAGGTATTTCTAGCCTAGTACTATGATGAGGTTTTTTTATTTAGCTTTAGAAGAGGCAAAAGAAAAATTAAGAAATAAATAAATGTAATTTGTTATTTTAACAATCACTTAACAGGAGGGACTATGTTTCATGCATGCCGCTAGTTCCTTACTAATTGTTTTCTTTTCCTGTGCACCTGTTCACACCACAAACATTCTGTGTGCTGGGAATAGAGAAAACAAAAGGGCCAAGGTTACACTGAAGAGAAAAACAGAGGATTGTGGTTGCACCTATCAGCTACTATGGGTCACAAAGTAATTCCATTTTATGCTACTCGTATTTCTGCTCTAAGGCAATAAAATCTGGAACAGCATCCGTTTACAATTCTTTGAGCAAAAGCCTATAAACTCCACCCCTTGCCGAGGTTACCATCCCCCGAGTGGCAATATCACTTCTTCTGATCTTCAGGCAACTACAAAGGCTTTGTTCAATCGTTCCACTACAAACGGTGTCTGCTTTCAGTTCTGAAAAATCATTACGTGGTCTATATTAGAACACCATGTAAGTTGTCCACAGAGGTACCTGGCGATGATACCACACGTACACAGAAGTGTGCACATCTGAAGTTTTCTGCTACAATAAAAGGTTCTGGCATGGCAAAATGCCTTAAGTAGACAGGATATACTGAACACATGAAAGGTCTGTATGTACATTGTTAACTGTTTGCTTTCCACTGAAAACACTTAATTTTGGCTATATGACGAGGCCTTCGCTGTATACAACTTACATGGATTTTCATTTCAATTCCCAGTCTAGCATGAACCAAAGAGGGTTGATGACCATAGGACACTGAATCTAACCACAGATGAGAAACATTTTGCCTCTCAGGCCTCACAGGTAAGGAAAGCACATCTCTTCTAAGGGATGGGACACCACAGGACAGGACAAGATGGGTGTTTAGATGCACATGTATCTTCCTGGATGTCTAGCATACCTAATCTTGGCTTTCCTCTTTGCTGTATAAAATACAGCAAATTCTGTGCTTTCCCACCTGTAGGGAAATGTCTACAGCAATGTGACCTGGTACACAGATATCCCAATCAACAGCTATTTGTCAAAAACGCTGCTAAATTCAAAGTTGCTAAAGGAATCTTGAAGATGTCAGTGTAATAAATTCTGTATTGTAAGAACACTTAAGGTCCAATAAATCACAAGACAGCTGTTTTTTTGCTTCCTTTCTCTATTTCTGGATAACAAGATGTATATTATAGAATTTCTTTATACAGCAAAAGGCATCAATGATCCCACATTAATATTATTCATAATCATTTCTGAATTATGAGTTTTCATGTTTGCTCAGGTTTTCAATATAAAAAGCAAAGCAATTCATTAGAGTTTTAAAATGTGAATCTTCACATATGGCTGCTTAGTGAAATTATGGAAATCCTGATCAATTTAATAACATTTGTTATTACACTGGAAGCAAAATCAATGTTACTGTTCAGTTTTAATTTCTGTTATAGACACTAGAATGAAGAAAACCTTTTATGTGCTAGTTTTATTCTTGTATTATTGAAAGCTAAAATGTGAGAGCTGTTCCTGTGTTTAAAAGTTTACAAATATTGCTCTTTTGCATGTAACTTTACGTGGTTTCTCTTGTGTATTTTGTCTTTTCTCCTCCCCATAGAAGATGAATGTTAACATTTCCCTCTACAAAACGAAAATATTTTATTGTAGTCTTCTCATGGCTTTTTAAAAAACCACCACCACCAAAACATCCAAAGGGTAAC